GAGCCCGATGCGGGACTCGATCCCGGGACTCCAGGATCATGACCTGAGCCGAAGGCAGTCGCTTAACCAACTGAGCCACCCAGGCGCCCCGAGAGAGTGCTATCTTTAATTTCTTTCAGCATTTAAGTCTTTTGCCACCTAGGTTAAATTTATTCCTAAGTATTTTATTCTTTTTGATGCTATGTATCAGGGAATTTTCAGTTTCTATTTTTCTTATTATCATCATCCTTTATATACACGTTTTGTACTGGTGACACCAAGCACACAGGCTGACCCATATGCCAAATACCCATTTTGCTTCAGGCTGCCAGGGCCATAGATTGCCACACTGAAAGGATTTAAAATGTCTTTATATTCTTAGAAGCTGCTATATTGTATGGGTTGAGTTGATTAGATGAATCAATACTGAAATGCTACTCGTGACCACACTGGCCAAGAGGAAGATTCTTAACTTTATGTTCTTAGAATCTTTCTCATTGCATTTGTTGAAATGATTTGGTAGCCACCCTGAGGCTGCCAATAATCAGTTCTGATACGGGGCCTATGAAGCACATGTGGGAAGTTCTCTCCTGTCAGAAGACCCTCTAGAATAGCAGATAGATTAGAAAATTTCAGTAGCATATTATTTGATAAATTTTAAATAGTACTTTATTAGGAAAGGTAAACTTAAAGTACAAAGGTTGAACTTTTCTAAGTATAAGGATTTAATTTGCTATGCAAAATTAAACTGAAACATTATACTCATAAACTGGCAAAAATTTTAGAAGAGTTTATATATTTTGCTGTTTCTTATTGCTAATAGAAATTTTTTGAAAAGAATCTGGCACCCTATATTAAAATTAAAAATACACATTTCCTTCTATGAAATTCCATTTCTGGCAACTTATCCCAAAGAAATGAAAGCACTAGTACATAAAGACATAAATTAAAAAATGCTTACTGCATCATTGTTTTTTGTGGCTAAAAATTAGGTACGAAGTTAACGTTCAGTCAGTACTGATATCACTCAATACACTATGGTATATTTACCCTGTGGAATAATTTGAAGTGATTTAAAATTATGAATTAGACTTACACCAGATGAATAGAAAGGATTTCCATGGGGATTTTGTTGAGCAAAAATAAGAATAATGTAGGGGCGCCTGGGTGGCTCAGTCAGTTAAGTGTTTGCCTTAGGCTCAGGTCATGATCCCAGGGTTCTGGGATCGAGCCCCGTATCGGGCTCCCTGCTCAGCGGGAAGCCTGCTTCTCCCTCTCCCACTCCCCCTGCTTGTGTTCCCTCTCTTGCTATGTCTCTCTCTGTCAAATAAATAAATAAAATCTTAAAAAAAAAAAGAATAATGTATATGATACTCCATTCTTGTAAAACCAGCAATAACAAAATGAATAACCCTTGCATGTATATGTACAGATAATGTACATGTACATATACATATACATGCATAGGATCATATAATTAGAGATATATTTAAGGACACAGTATAGATTATTAATTTTATTTTTGAGAGATTGAAAAACAAAACAAAAGGCACAAAGTCCAAAAATGCATAAATGTCATGTTTGTCTAAAATTATATGTAAGTTGATTATATATGTAAAGATGTTAAATAAGAAAATAGAGGTATCTTAAAAACCACAAAATCAGGGGTGCCTGGGTGGCTCAGTCGTTAAGTGTCTGCCTTGGCTCAGGTCATGAGCCCAGGGTCCTGCTTCTCCCACTCCCAGTCCCCCTACTTGTGTTCCCTCTCTCGCTGTGTCTCTCTCTGTCAAATTAATAAATGAAATGTTTAAAAAAACCAACCAACCAACAAAGAAAAAAACCTGCAAAATCAAATTCTTTATTTTTGAGATTTTTTTTTTTAAAGATTTTATTTATTTATTTTGACAGAGAGAGAGAGACAGTGAGAGAGGGAACACAAGCAGGGGGAGTGGGAGAGGGAGAAGCAGGCCTCCCGCTGAGCAGGGAGCCCGATGCGGGGCTTGATCCCAGAACCCTGGGATCATGACCTGAGCCGAAGGCAGACGCTTAACGACTGAGCCACTCAGGCGCCCCTATTTTTGAGCTTTAACTAAGCATATATGTATAATTTTGGTTTGTTTTGTTTCTGTAGTAATTCCACTGAATGAAGAAGTTCTTGTAACATTAGGCAAAGAAGAGGTAAGTCACTTAGTAAATCTGTAGTAACCTTAATTAACCTATAACTAGAAGTGTTTGGGATTCATGAGATAAGTAGGATGAATCTACTTTAAAGCCATATTAGTTTTTTTATTTTGATTTTATGTTTTATTGAATGGAATGTTTTAAATGACTTGAATTTCATTTCACCAATTTGTATATCAGAACTATTGTTAGTATTTAATGTGAGCTTTATTCTTATATTTAATTTCCAGTTGATTAAACTCTTCATAATACAAGCAAAAACATTAAACATAGTTAAATGATCATAATATACATCTGTTCTTCTCAAAACTTAACCTACATATCAATAAAGATATTTTTTTTAACATGTAAGTCCATTCGGTCAAAGTCCATTAGGTCAAACAAGAATTGTAAACAAGGTTGTAATGCATGGAAAGAAATAAGTATCTGTGTGTCAAGAGACAGAGATAGGGATGAAAAGATATTATCTGCCCTACAGAGTTGAAAAAAAGTCTTGGGATTTGAAGGAAACTTGTACTACAAAATCCAAGGTTCAAGTCTGAAGCTAAAAACAAGATTTCTTTAACAGCAGAACATAGATAGGCTTTCTCTTTTCTAATCAGGCAGCTAACTTTTTACCCCCACACTTGGAAACTGGAGGTATAGGATATGGAGAGATTAAACTGTTGAGGCTCTGGACCCAGGGATACCAGGTTGGGTGTTTAGTAGGGTTGGCGTGCAGGTCAAAGGTCAGAAAGATCCAGTTAATATTTTATACTGTGTGGTGGAAGTACCAGCTCCTTTCCCTGCTCTTTCTCAGAGGTCTTACAATCTATTATAAAATAGCCTCAGAGTGGAGATAAAACAATCTTCTCTGGAAAATCTAAATGGCTTAAGAAAAAGATCTATAAGTGTTAATTTTTGGCGTTCTCAGTGAAAAAGCAGGATTGGTGTACATCAAAACATCCCATTCATAACAGGGTTTTTAGTATTTTTGAGTTTTGGCCAGCCAGTGGTCATCAGTGTTTGTGAATGCCTCCAAATAGAAAGGTAGTAACCCAAAATAACTGATAAAGATGAACCTTAAGGAAATAGAGACAATTCGGGGAACAAAGAGAATTTAATAAACAATATCTTCAGGGGCGCCTGGGTGGCTCAGTCGTTAAGCGTCTGCCTTTGGCTCAGGTCATGATCCCAGGGTCCTGGGATCCAGCCCCTCATCAGGCTCCCTGCTTGGCGGGAAGCCTGCTTCTCCCTCTCCCACTCCTCCTGTTTGTGTTCCCTCTCTGGCTGTGTCTCTCTGTCAAATAAATAAATAAAATCTTTAAAAAAAAAAAACCACAAACAATATCTTCAGAGAGACAAAAAAAATTTGATTAAAAAATAACAGAGGCACCTAGGTGGCTCAGTCAGTTAAGTGTCTCTTGATTTCGGCTCTTATCATGATCTCAGGGTCATGAGATCTAGCCCCGTGCTGGGCTCCTCACTCATTTGGAGAGTCTGCCTGAGAGTCTCTCTCTCTCCCTTTGCCCCTCGCCCTGCTTATGCATGTGCTCTCTCTCTCAAATCAATCAATCTTTGAAAAAACATTAAAAAATAACAGAATGCCAACTTAATAAAAGTACTACTTCATACCCCCTAGCATGGCTATAATCAAAAGACAGACAATAACAAGTATTGATGAAGATATGGAGAAATTAGAACATTGATAAACTGCTAGTGGGAGTGTAAAATAGTGCAGCCACTTTGGAAAACATTTTGGTAGTTCCTCAGAAGATGAAAGAGTTACTATTTGAACCAGTAGTTTCACTCCCAGCTGTATACCTAAGAGAAATGAAAATAAGTGTGTGTCCACACAAAAACTTAAACATGAATGTTCATAGCAACATTTTTCTTAATGGCCAAAAATGGTAAACAACCTAAATATTCATCAACTGATGAATGGATAAATAAATTGTGATACGTCTATACAGTGATGTATTATTGTCTAAAATAATGAAGTACCAATATGCCATAATATAGGTGTATTTTGAAAACATTATGCTAAATGAAAGAAGCCAGTCACAAAGGATTGCATATTATATTATTCTATTTATATGAAATGTCCATAATAGGCAAATCCATAGAGACAGAAAGTAGGTTGTTGCTTATTGATTAAGGCTGGGTGATTGGAGAAGAAATAATGAGTGACTGCTAATGGATACTGCTAACAGGTTTCCTTTTGGGATGATGAAAATGTGCTAGAACAGATTGTGGTGATTTTGCACAACTCTACAAGTACCGTAAAAATTACTGAATTATACACTTTAAATGCGTACTGTATGGTATGTGGAATATATCTCATAAAAGCTGTTATTTTAAAAAGGACCAATCAGAGAATAAGAGCCTTTCTAAATAAAAACATGATACCTGAAATAAACACGAAAATGTTGGTAATTATAGTCATGGAAATCTCCTACAGAGTAAGGATGGCAAAAAAAGGAAAATTGGAATAACAGAAGATAGTAGAACTAGAGTATCAACTCAGAAGTACAAAATACAACCAGTAGAAGTTCCAAGTTTTTGAAAAATGGAAGGGAAGAAACAATAAATAATACATGAACATTTTCCCAGAATGAAAGATAAAGATTCTTTTTTATATTGAAATGAGCCACCAAATTTTCAATGTCATGAATTAAAAATGACATGACATAATGATCCACTGTAATTTTCCCTTTGGTAGCAGCCCTTAGGCTAGTAACTCTGGTTTGAACTGGCTGGAATCCAAATGATGCAGTACTAGCATTGGCCTTAACATTTTCATTTTAACTATTACAGATAAAAATAACAAAGAGATTGAATATTTAGCTTGTTTCTTTCACAGTATCATAAGTATTTCCATATGCATCCAGTCAGCCAACTGTCTGAGAATTTTTTCTGTCATTTCTAAATTCCCAGAATACTTCTGCCTGTAATTATTGATCATGGTGCAACTGTTGTCTTCTTTTTTGACTGGGTAAACATCAGGCACCAGGTTCATCATTCTCTGCCCAATTATCCTTCTTTTTCCCACACAGTGCTTTCATTATGTTTTGGTGAGCCAGAGTCATAGCAAAATCCCACTTCCGAGGCCAGCTGTTGTCAGGTTTTTCCCTAAGACCACTCTCATTTCGTTGATGGGCACACAGGAGTCAGAAAAGCTATTGTACTCATGGTTACAGTTTATTACAGTGAGGAAACACAGATTAAAATGAGCAAGGGAAAACACACATAGGCTAAGCTTATAGTAGTCCTTTCCCAGTGGAGTTGATAAATTTGTTTAATTCTCCTTGCAACTGAGTGCACAACATGTGCAAAGTGTTTTCAAATAGGGAAGTTCACCTGAGCCTTGTTGTCTAGAGTTTTTTTTTTTTTTTTTTATTTGAGAGAGCGAATGAGAGACAGAGAGCACGAGAGGGAAGAGGGTCAGAGGGAGAAGCAGACCCCCTGCCGAGCAGGGAGCCCGATGTGGGACTCGATCCCGGGACTCCAGGATCATGACCTGAGCTGAAGGCAGTCGCTTAACCAACTGAGCCACCCAGGCGCCCCGTTGTCTAGAGTTTTTATCAGTAGTCAGTCACTATGCATAAGGGGCCTCCTTGACTGACCTCACCTACTCACACTCCAGCCCTCCAGAGCAAAATTGCATTCACCATAAATCACATAGTTAGAATAAACTCTCTAATCAAACTGGTGCCAAGTGTGGCTTGCACTCACAACACCAAGATCAAAAGTTGCATGCTCTACATACTGATCCATCCCAGCACCTCTATATAAACACTCCTATCAGGCATAATATTCCAAGGCTTCAGAGCTCATCCTTCAGGAGTCCACAGGGGACCTGTCCTGAAGACAGGCCTTTCTTGGTAATGTGCAGTTTGTACAACTTCTTCCCTGCACACTTATCTTTTTATTCTCTTAATAGTGTCTTTTAAGAAACGTTAAGTTCCCAGTTTGATTAACTCTGTTTTATCAAGTTTTTTTTTTTAAGGTTTGTGCTCAAATATAAGAAATATTTGTCCAACTTAAGGTCACAAAGCTTTTCTTTTCTTTAAAAATTTCAAAGTTTCACATTTATGATCCAGTTTGAATTCATGTTTTTATATAGAATGAGTTATTGATAAAGCTGTATTTTCTTTCATATGAATACTAATTGTGGGTTTCCAGCACAAATAGTTGAAAAAAATTATTTTTTCTCTTTTGAATTTCCTTTGCATGCTTAATGAAAATTAATTAACCAACCGTATATGTGTGGATCCATTTCTAGACTCCATTTGTTCTTCATTCTGTGGTTATTTCTTTTCCTTTTTTCTGTGTTTCTGTCTTTAGGTCAATACCACATTGTTTTATTTACTGAAGTTAAGACTTAAAAGTCTTAAATAAAATAGTATGAATTCTCTATCTTTTTTGTTCCTTATCGAAATTGTTTTATATTTTCATATAGAGTTAGCTGGTCATTCAATCCCATAAAAAGCTTACTGAATTTTGACTGAGATTGCCCTGATTCTGTAGTTTAATTTTTTTATTTTATTTTTTTTAAAGATTTTATTTATTTATTTGAGAGAGAGAAAGAGAGAGAGAGCTGGAGAGGGGGGAAGGTCAGAGGGAGAAGCAGACTCCCCGCTGAGCCAGGGAGCCCGATGCGGGACTCAATCCTGGGACTCCAGGAACATGACCTGATCCGAAGGCAGTTGCTTAACCAACTGCGCCACCCAGGCGCCCTCTGTAGTTTAATTTGAGGAGAATTGACGTCTTTAATATACTGAATCTCAGTTTGAATCCATGAGCCTTGTATGATCTCTGTATTTACTTAGGTCTCCATTTATTTAGTACTTTTAGGATTTATCTCATCAGTGTCTTATAATTCATTATATCAAAGACTAAAAAAGAAAAAAGACATTTGATTGTCCCAATGAATTCAGAAAGAATAAGTGACAAAATTCAATATTAATTCTTGATTTTTTTTAATTTTTATTTTTTTCAGAAAACTACCCCCTCTTATGTGGGGCTTGAACTCATGACCACAAGATCAAGATTTTCATGCTCTACTGATTGAGCAAGCCAAGCATCCCAATTCATGATTTTTTGAAAGAGTTAATAAATTGTAATAGAGGTGTGCAGGTCTTACACATTTTTGTCAGGTTCATCCCTTTGGTATTTCATATTTTTGATGCTATTAAAGTGGTATTCTTTTTTCAATTATCAATTATTTAATCCTGATACATACAAATACAATTAATATTTATATATTGATCTTCTATTAGTGAGTATGATAAACCCCTTTATTCTAGTGGCTTTTTTGTAGATGTTGTAGGATTTTCTACATGGCTAGTTGTATCATCTGAGATCAGGGGCCCTTATATTTATTCCTTTACATCTGGATGCCTTTTATATGTTTTCTTTCTTTCTTTCTTCCTGTCTTTCTTTCTTTCTTTCTTTCAGAGAGAGAGAGAGAGCAAGAGCATGAGCGGGAGGGGCAGAGGGACAGGGAGAGAGAATCTCCAGCTGACTCCACACTGAGCTCGGAGCCAGACTCGGGGCTCAGTCTCACAACCCTGAGATTGCGATCTGAGCTGAAACCAAGAGTCAGGTGCTTAACTGACTGTGCTGGCTAGGTGCCGCTAGATGCCTTTCATATGTTTTTCTTGGCTTATTGTGCCGTTCTAGAACTTTTTTTTTTTTTAGAGATTTATTTATTTGAGAGAGAGAGAGGGCACACTAGCAGAGGGAGATGGAGAGAATCCCAAGGAGACGCCCCACTGAGCCCAGAGCCCAACACAGGGCTCAATCTCATGACACTGTGATCATGACCTGAGCCAAAATCAAGAGTCGATGGCTTATCTGACTGAGCCATCCAGGTGCCCCTAGAACGTTTAGTACATATTTAATAAAAGTGGTGAGAATGGACATTTTTGCCTTGTTCCCGACCTTTGTGGATAGCATTTGCTCTTTCATCATCAAGTGTGATATTAGTAGTAGGTTTTTCATAGATGCCCTTAACTAAGTCGAGGAAATTACCTTCTATTACAATTACAGTATCTTCTCCCATTCAGTAAGTTTTATTGATGGTTTCCTTTTATTTGATGTGATTTCCTTTTTATTTTGGTGTGGTCTCAGTAGTTTAATTTTCCTTTTGTTTTCCTTGTCAGAGGAGACATATCTAGAAAAATATTTCTATGGCTGATGTCAAAGAAATTACTGCCTGTTTTCTTTTAGAAATTTTATGGTTTTAGGTCTTACATTAAGGTCTTTAACCCATTTGGAGTTTATTTTGTGTATGGTGCAAGAAAGTGGCCCAATTTCATTTTTTTGCTTGTGGCTGTCCAGTTTTCCCATCACCATTTGTTGAAGAAATGGTCTTTTTCCCATTGTATATTCTTGCCTCCTTTGTTGTAGATTAATTGACCATAACAGCATGGATTTACTTCTGGACTCTATATTCTGTTCCATTGATCTATGTATCTGTTTTTATGCAGTGCCATACTGTTTTGATTACTACAGCTTTGTTGTATATCTTGAAATCTGGGATTGTGAAACCTCCAGCTTTTGTTCTTTTTCAAGAATGCTTTGGCTATTTGGGGTCTTTTGGGGTTCCATAGAAATTTTAGGATTATTTGTCTTAGTTCTGTGAAAACCACTATTGGTATTTTGATAGGGATTGTATTAAATCTGTAGATTGCTTTGGGTATATAGACGTTTTTAACAATATTGGTTTTTCCTGTCCATGAGCATGAAATATCTTTCCATTTGTTCGTGTCATTTTCAATTTATTTCATCACTGTTTTATAGTTTTTGGAGTATAGATCTTTCACTTCCTTGGTTAAGTTTATTCCTAGCTATTTTATTGTTTTTGGCATAGTTGTAAATAGATTGTTTTCTTAATTTCTCTTTCTACTGCTTCATTATTAATGTATAGATATGCAACAGTTGCTGTATATTCATTTTATACAGTGACTATACTGAATTCATTGACTTAGTACATTGATTTTTTTAAAAAAATGATATCTGTTTAATTAACCATGTATTCCTAGGATAAACCCACTTTGCTTAATCTTTTTTATTTATTGATGGATTTAATTTGCTGAAATTTTATTAAGGTTTTTGTGTCTGTATTAATAAGAGATACTAGTCTATGGTTTTCTTTTCTTGTGACATCTTGGTCAGGCTTTGGTATCAGGCCTATTAGAATGAGTTGAGAGTTATTCTGTCTTCAAAAGAGTTTGTATAGAATCAGTATTATTTATTCCTTAAATGTTTGCTAGAATTCACAGGTGAAGGCATATGGGCCTGGAGTTTTCTTTGTGGGAAAATTTCTAGCCACAAATTCAGTTTTTTTATGGCTGGTCAGGTTTTCTCTTTTTCTCTGAATAAGTGGTAGTTTGTGTCTTTTAAAGAGTTTGTCCATCTCATCTAATTCGTCAAATTTATTAAATTTGTTCTTAGCATTCCTCCATTACCATTTTAATGTTTATAGTAATGTCACCTCTCTCATTCATAATGTTAGTAATTTTTGTTCTTTTTTCTGTTGTAATTAGTGTGGGTAATTATGATGACCTTCTCAAAGAATCAGCTTTGGGTTCATTGATTTTCCCCCCAGTTTTCTTCTTGTTTTTCTGTATTTAAGTTCTTTTTAATCATTATTTTTTATTCAGTTTACTTTTGATTTTATTTGTTCTTTTTCTTGTGGTGGAAGCTGTCCTTATTTGAGAGCTTTTGTTTTTCTTTTCTTTTTTTAAGATTTTATTTATTTATTTGAGAGAGAGAGAGCATGAGCAGGGGAAGTAGTAGAGGGAGAAATAGACTCCCTGCTGAGCAGGGAGCTGAAAGGGGGCTCCATCCCAGGATCCTGAGATCATGATCTGAGCAGAAGGCAGATGCTTGAAGGACTGAGGCACCCAGGTGCCCAGAGAGCTTTTGTTTTTCTAATAGAGGCTTTTACTGCTGTAAATTCTCATCTGAGTACTGCTTTTGCTTCACCCCAGAAGTTTTTATTTTGTTTTTATTTTCAAATAGTTCATAATAATTTTTTTCTTGTAGATTACTTCTTTGACTAATGGATTATTTAGAAGTGTGTTTTTTTTTTATTCTTATGTTAATCCCCATACACTACATCATTAGTTTTAGATGTAGTGTTCCATGATTCATTGTTTGTGCATAACACCCAGTGCTCCGTGCAGAACGTGCCCTCCTCAATACCCACCACCAGGCCAACCCATCCTCCCACCTCCCTCCCCTCCAAGAAGTGTGTTTTTAATACTTAAATGTTTGCAGATTTTCCCAGTTACCTTTCTATTATTTATTTTTAATTTAATTATATTGTTAGTTCATATTTAATGTAATATCAGTGTGGTTGCTCTGCAATCTTGGTACTTGATTTTTCTTTCCTATTTGTATTACCTTTTCTCTGTTCCTATTTTCCTCTCTTTCCAATTTCTTGACTTGTGTAGTTTTAAAAATAAACCTATTTTATTTATACTATTGGTTTACTGGTTCTTCCCCTGCCCCCTTTTTTTTTCGTGGTTGCTATAAGGTTTATGATACACATCTTTAAATTATCACTGATTTAGATGTGTAAAAGGCTAATGGAAACCCTTGACATCAGGAGAATGGAACACTAGCTAATTTGTTCTAGAAACAAAAAGATACTAGAAAAAACTCCAGTTGTTACTGTAATTTACTTTACCCACACAGTCTTCTTTGATGTTTCTCAAATATGTCACATATATTCTTGCTTCAGTGCCTTTGTACCTACAATTTTCTCTGCTTGGAACATTCTTTTGCTAGATATGATCATGTCTTATCTCATGTCTTCTTTATCTGCTGCTATACTGTTAACCTGATCAGAGAGGTCTCTCCATGTCATACTACCTAAAAGAGCCATTCCTACAATTTTTTCTTCATGATACTGATCACTCACAGGAGTTATATATTTGTCTCAGTTCTCCTCTTGTTCATCTTTGAATCCCTGACTCCTTCAACAATGTCTGGTAGTCAATGATCAATATATATTTGTTAAATGAATGGTAATCATTTGTGTCTGTTTTTGTATAGTCTCCTTAGAAAAGAGCCTAATCTACCTGATTACTGAAAACATACTCTTTAATTGTCTTTCAGTATCAAAATGTATTGCTCAAAACTCCTTATATTTTTGAATTTAACAAATGAAATATTACAAAGAACCTAGTACCTGCTGTATATTTTCCTTTCAGACTTACTGGTAGGCTTTTTTGCTCTTGGTTTCTGATTATCTATCCTAAACAAATAATGTAAATTTCACTCTCATTTAGAAATATAACTGTTTATAGGATTACAGACTAAACAATTTGCATTATTTTGTTCCAGTTCCAAAAATTGAGACATGATCTTGAATTGGTGCTCTCTACTATTCAGTCAAAGAATGAAAAGCTAAAGGAAGACTTGGAAAGGTATAATTATAATTACCTTTAATCACTGATATATGTTGAATTGGTATTAATGTTTTATTTGGCTATGTTGGTATTGTTTTTCCATGTTTAAAGGGAGCAACAGTGGTTGGATGAACAACAACAGATACTGCAATCTCTTAATGTACTACACAATGAATTGAAACATCAGGTTGTGACATTTTCTGAATCAAGGTATTTGTATTCTAGTTTTTTGAAATAGGAAAAAGTTATTTTTTTATGTTACATGAAATACATACATGAAAAGAAGGGAAATTTTATTAGAAATTGTGGGTTTTAGTTAACTTTTACCAACTGTTACGTGACATTTGATTAATGACTTGATGTATAGTTTCCCTACATGTTAAATAGAGAATTTTACTTTCATAAAGCTAGTTATTTCATTTGAACAAATGAAGTTTGAAAAACGTGTTTGATCAACTTTATGAGTTACCAGTTACATATACTTATGTATTTTATGTATTTTATCAGTAAAATGTTTCTCTTAATTTTTAAAATATGTATTAGAATCTTTGATGAGCTGAAAACTAAAATGCATGATATAAAAGAATATAAGGAGAAACTCTTGATTACCTTGGGTGAGTTTCTGGAAGATCATTTTCCTCTGCCTGATAGAAATGTGAAAAAGAAAAAGAAAAAGGTAAGTTTTAGGGAACACATTCATGTAGATATTTATATATGAGATTATTTCACATAGGTTCAAATGTAAATTTTCTGATAAATTTTTGTAAGTTTATTATATGTTTCAAAGATTCACACAGATAAATGTATAGAAATATTCCATCATATTATAATATTGACTGAAAAACTAGAAGCAACTTAGTTCAATAAAACAGGATTAAATGCATTTTTAAAATATTTACCCATATGGTGGGAAAAAATATACCTTTTAAAAATAATGTATTGAACACTACCAGAAGAGGTATTAAAATGCTCACAATTTATTGTTAAATGGATAAAACAGCTAACTAAATATTATGAGTCTAATTTGTAACAAAAAATATAATAGTGCCTATGTTGGAGGCTAGGATTTTAGGTGAGATTTGTTTTTGTTTCTGTTTTTACTATTTTCCAAAGTTTCCATGATGAGCATATGTAACTTTTAAAATCAGAAGATAGCTGTTAGTTAATGTAAGTTCTTGACTATTTTACTAGTAGTTATGATGGAATAAACCTTTTCCACAAAAGCAAATAAATATTTTATTTGGTGACAGAAGATTGGGAAGAACTACTTTAATGCCTTTTTTAAAAACAGTATATAGTATAAATAAATAAAGCTTGTGGAAGTAGAGTAGGCATTGAAACCGGCACCAGAATGATCTTTCTAAAAATATATATTTTAATCATTTTTCAACATAAAACTGATGGCTCCCTACTGGACGACGTCTAAAAACTCCTTAGAGTAATGCATTTATATTTGGACTTTGTTTATCTCTTTACCTCCTGCCCAACCATTCTTTATTCATCTCTTGCATGAATCCATTCAACCATACCACTCTAGTCCCAGCAAGTATGCAATGACCTGTCATTTTTTGTGCCTTATACGTTTTATTCCCTCTGCTTACAAAACACTTCCTATCTGATGAGGATAGCAGATTCTTAAGAGTCAAACATCATCTTTTGCATGAAGTATTTATTTTAAGATTTATTTATTTATTTTAGAGAGAGAGAGTGAGAGAGCGCGTGGCAGTGGGAGGAGTAGAGGGAGAGGGAGAGAGAAATTTAAACAGCCTTTGTGCAGAGCATGGGGCCTGACATGGGGCTTGATCTCATGACCCTGAGATCATGAACTGAGCCAAAACCAAGAGTTGGACGTTTTGGGTGCCTGAGTGGCTCAGTTGGTTAAGTGTGTGCCTTCGGCTCAGGTCATGATCCCAGGATCCTGGGATCGAGCCCCACATTGGGCTCCCTGCTCTGCAGGGAGTCTGCTTCTCCCTCTTCCTCTAACCCTCCTCCCCACTGTGCCCTCTCTCTCTCTGTCTCAAATAAATAAATGCATACAATCTTTAAAAAAAAAAAAGAATAGTTGGATGCTTAACCACCTGCGCCACTCAGGCACGCCCTTGTGTGAAGTATTAAACGAAGTTTATGTGCCATTTTATTAGCATTTGTCACAGGATTTTGTAGTAATCATTTATGTCTATCTCTCTTTTCACCCACCGTGCACTCTGAGCTCCTTGATGTGTTGAATTCATCTTTGTAGGTCTACCGTCTTGCGTATGTATTATAGTACCTTCTGAGTTCATATTTATTGAATGACTGAGTATACTAGGAAAAGGAGAGAAAGTTTTGTTTTCGGGCGCCTGGGTGGCTCAGTTGGTTAGGCGACTGCCTTCAGCTCGGGTCATGATCCCAGGGTCCTGGGATCGAGTCCCACATCGGGCTCCCTGCTCTGCGGGAAGCCTGCTTCTCCCTCTCCCACACCCCCTGCTTGTGTTCCCTCTCTCGCTGTGTCTCTCTCTGTCAAATAAATAAATAAAATCTTTAAAAAAAAAAAAGAAAGAAAGTTTTGTTTTCTTATAATCTGTATTTTTTTTTTTAATTTAATTTTATTTATTTGAGAGAGAGAGAATGAGAGACAGAGAGCATGAGAGGGAGGAGGGTCAGAGGGAGAAGCAGACTCCCCGCCGAGCAGGGAGCCCGATGCGGGACTCGATCCCGGGACTCCAGGATCATGACCTGAGCCGAAGGCAGTCGCTTAACCAACTGAGCCACCCAGGCGCCCCTTATAATCTGTATTTTTTATTCTTCCCTTTCTTCATTGTAACTATCAGGAGGCTTTACATATGTTATGGACTATGTCTCCCATTCTATCTGTTGTTATTTATACACCTTGTTCTAAAATTACTGACAGCCTCTGTTAACCATTAAGTTCAGGATTCCCTACCTCTTAATGATCATAATCCTACAATAACTCAATGACATTTTCTGATTCCAGTCTTGCCTGTTTTCAACTTTTTTTTTTTTAATCTATCAAGCTTCTCCAGTAATAAAACCAGAGGTTTTGAGGGATTCTAAAAAGGAATCATTGATCACCAGAAGCCATCATGGGTTTATTAAGTCATATTTGATAAACTCACTTTTTTAAAATGAAGTATATGAACTGTTGATAAATGTTACAAAACGATAGATTACTTTCTCTTTTTTCTCTCTCTCTGTCAAGCAGTAATACTGGATGTATTAGTTGACTCAATCTGCCTTAGTAAAATACTACAGATTAAATGGCTTCAACAAAAGATTTTATTTTCTCACTATTCTGGAGGCTAGAAGTCCAAGATCAAAATGCCATCTGGGTTAGTTTCTGCTGGGGCCTTTGTTCCTGGACAGCCATGTCTTGCTGTCCTCACATGGCCTTTTCTCTGTTCGAGAGTAGAGAGAGCTCTCTGGTGTCTCTTTGTCTTATTATAAAGACACCAGTCCAGCTGGATTAGGGTACCACCATTATGGTCACATTTAACTTTAATTACCTCTTTAAGGGCTTCATCTCCAAATATAGTCACCAGGGGGGCTGGGACTTGACCATGTGAATTTTGAGAGGCACAGTTCCGTCCATAACACTGGGCTTTATCAAATTCAAGGATGTGTACAAAAAGAAAAAACTTGAATCCCTCCACTACATCATTAACATTAGGTGAACATCATTTGAGACATCTTCCTAAACACATACAAGTATAGAAGCATAAATGGATTGATGGATATGCAGATCAGTGTAGGTTTCTTTTAATAAAGATTTTATTTATTTATTTATTTGAGAGGGAGAGAGAGAGCACACAGAGGGAGAGGGAGACACAGACTCGCCGCTGAGCAGGGAACCTAACACCAGGCTCAATCCCAGGACCCCAAGATCATGACCTGAGCCAAAGGCAGACGCTTAACTGGCTGAGCCACCCAGGTGCCCCCAGATCAATGTAGTTTTGTATAGGCCAATATAAAATAAGTATTATTACATGTAATTTTACTTATATTGATAGAAGAAAAATGAGTGAAGTTGATTTATTTAACTCAGATAAATATTTCTTTGCTTCAAGTGATTTTAATTCTGGAGAGATCCCTAATAGAAAACAAATTATGAGAAACATTATAAAAGATTATAATACGTTTTTAAATTTCATCTTTCAATTTTAGACAGCATTCATTGACTCCCTGCTACAAAAGATGAGGAAATTAACATTCTTCCTCCTATAACCTCATTATAATTTGTGTTATTTATTTTAACTTTGGCAGGTTTATAGCGCTTTTATTCTGTTCTCATACCAATATTCATGTATGTGTTTAGTCTTTATATTGTATTGAATTCAATGCTTATCATCTTTTACCATTTATTTTTAAGTTTTTAAGTTTAATTAGTTGTTTGATTTGATGGATTTCTTTGATAAGTAATTTGTTTAAGCAGAATTCCTGGGCATTTTATTTCTTAGGTTCTTGAATGATGAAAATACTTTATTTGCTTTTACAGCCAAAGGATATTTTCAGCACATTTAAAAAAAAAATTTAAGATTGGTAGGGATTGCTCCATTCTTCTGAAATACAGTGTGCTGTGGAGATCTGAGGTCAGCCTCTAGATATCTTGAGTACATGCCTGAAGAGTTCTTTATCTTTGAACTTCAGTAATTTAACAGAAATATGTCACAATGTTGATCATTCAATATCAGTTTTGCTTTGAAGTTGGCATTGTTTTTAGGGGCAGATTTAGGTCACATTTCATTTCATGGAAATTTTATTTTATCATGTCATATTGTTTTTCATATCTTTATGTTGAAAACTTTTTTTTTCTTGGTTTGCTCTCATATTGTTCCTCTGCTTTTTCTTTGATTGTCTCAAACATTTATATTTTAATCTGTGCTTTGTAGCTTCTTATTTCTGTATCAATTCTTTAATTCTCTTTGCTTTCATCACTACTGAATGCTGCTTTTTTTTAACCACTCTTTCATTTGTAAGGTATTAGAGGTCAGGAGATTTTGAGATGCAGCTTTACTATCTTTACTCAGTAATTGCATTTATTTTTACTCTTTCTTTAGTATATTTGTACTTACATAAGAGTTTAATTTTTTTAATTAAGATTTTATTTATTTATTTATTTGAGAGAGGGTGAGAGAAAGAGATAGCAGGAGCGGGGTGAAGGGCAGAGGGAGAAGCAGACTCCCCACTGAGCAGGGAGCCTGATGCGAGGTCAGATCCCCGGAATCCAGGATCATGATCTGAGTGGAAGGCAGACACTTAACCGACAGAGCCACCCAGGTTCCCCTACATAAGACTTTATAAGGACTCCCTGGTAATCTTTGACTGGTATCAGGAAAGTACTAGCTGTCACTATAGTAGGTGACTTTGTAATTAATTAAATGTCTGAACGCAAGCTGCTCATCAGGATTAATATTATCTTGGAAGGGGATTTCTAGCAGATCCCCTTTAGATCCTTGTCCTATTGAATATTTTGTTTTTTGGGGATTTTTTTTGTTTGTTTTTCGTTTTGGTACAATAAGATGTTTTTTTAAATAAAGCATGGGGACAGGTCCCATGGGCACTAAAAAATTACCTATGGAATTTTTTTTTTTTTTTAAAGATTTTACTTATTTATCTGACAGAGAGAGACACAGCGAGAGAGGGAACACAAGCAGGGGGAGTGGGAGAGGGAGAAGCAGGCTTCCCGCGGAGCAGGGAGCCCGATGCGGGGCTCGATCCCAGGACCCTGGGATCATGACCTGAGCCGAAGGCAGACGCTTAATGACTGAGCCACCCAGGCGCCCCCCTTTGGAATATTTTTAATAGGAGTTTAGATAAATAAGTAGAAGGCATGGTCATGAAAACTTGCAAATGATAAGAAACTAAGGGAGCTAGATAGTAAATATACTCGATGACAGAATTAGGCCTATATTTTTCAGTTGGCTAGAACTAGACCAAATAAAATAGGGATAATATTTAATGGAGGTACAGAGAATATCTTTCTTGGGTTTAAAACATTGAAGAATGAAGGAGACCTGTCTTGGCTAGGTGTATGAAAGAGGCTTATGCATTTTAGATGATAGTATGCTCAGAGAGAGGTCAGCAGGGCAGAATAGATGCCCAAAAGCTGATGAATAAACTTGATGAATAAAATACCAGCATCTGTAAGTATGGAAGTGAGTCTTCCTTTTCATCTTTGCTGTTTAAATCACACTTGTATCATGTGGAGAGTGGATTGAAAAAGAAAAAACAAGATAAATTAAAGCACATTTAGAGAGCACCCATGATATGAGGGGCTGCAAGGCTATGACTTGTGAAAAATAATTGAAGGAACTAATGATTAATATGGCAAAGACTTAGGGCTCGTAATACCTGTCTTCAAATATTTGAGGAATTCTTGGATCGAATTGGAATGGGATTTATTCTCTGTCATTCCAAGGAAAAAAGAAGCAGTGAGTTGAATTAACATTAGGAACTGTCAAGAACTATAGAAAGTTGAACAAGGCTCCCTGGGAAGTAAGTTTCCTTTCCTGAAGCTGTATAAATACTGCTTGGAATGCCATTTGTTTGAAATATTTTGATTGGAGAGTTCAAACATTAGACTTTCAGTTACATGAGTATATATAATATGTATAATGTAATTTATCCATTATATATTTGTAGATAGTCTGAATTGTATCTTCTTGTAATTGCAAAAGATTTCAGTCTCTTAGAGGTTGTTTGAACTTTGTTTTTATGAACCTGTTTAGTACAGGCAGATTGTTTACTTTCAGAATTCTTTTAAAATCACCTAATTATAAATATTTTATTTTGATATACCTTGTACCATTGCAGTTAAGAAATATTACTTTAAAAAATTTTTGTTATAAATATAGTCTAATTGGCCATTGGCAGAATTGAAATGTTAATTCTTTGTTATTCACATTTCTGTCAAAGAAAAACATTCAAGAATCAACTGCACAGCTGATAACACTGCATGAAATGTTAGAGGTAAGTGTTTTGTGTAGTTGTTTTGTCTTCAAGATTTCTTTTAATTACTGATTTCTGAACGATTATACACAAGGTCAAAACAAAATACTGCATTAGTTCTTAAATATACCAACCTTTATTAAATATATTTATATTAATTTATCTTTAGTATAAGACTAGGGTCTGTTTTCTATACCTTACTAGAAGGAATATTGTCATTTTTTAAAAGAACATAAGATTGGGGACTAGCCCTTAATCATTCCCAAGATTATTACTTTAAAAAAATTCTTGTGTTGTTATTTATTATTTACACAGTGAAACCCTATGCTTTTACATGGATGGAATCTTTAGTTGGCATCTCTATTTTATCTGAACTACATGTTTGAGTTTAAGGATTCTTTCCACAAAGTTGCAGAAACTTGTACACAGTTTTAAAGATGTTTCCATTTATTAATATCTGTAGTTTTTTTTAAAAGGAAGAAAATTATTTAAGTTAATACATAGAAATTATGACAAGCAATTATTCAAGGAGAAAAGAGATCAACATTCTTTGGTAAACAAATTTTTAATGTTTTATTATAGCTGTATCATTTTTTTACTAAGTATGGTATATCTTGAACGATATTTTTTCCTAGATTCTTTTAAATAGATTATTTGATGTTCCACATGATCCATATGTCAAAATTAGTGATTCTTTTTGGCCACCTTATATTGAGCTGCTCCTTCGTAATGGAATTGCCTTGAGACATCCAGAAGATCCAACCCGAATACGATTAGAAGCCTTCCATCAGTAAAAGGATGGTCTCTTTTTTTCACACAGTACTTAATGAATCTTGTCATTCAAGGATAATAGAAACACTGAGGATTTACTTGGATAAAGAATGTTATTTGCAAATCAAAGTACATAGTCCCTCTTCCTTTTATCCATAAAATGACCTGTGCCATCTACTATTCATTTATAAATGGTTCTTTCAATTCATTCAGTGCTTTGGTGTGTTCAACTGGATGGAAAAGAATGCAAGTAAAAATATTCTAGACTTAATCATTATAAAAGTTTTGATATACCTTCTGCAGTATTCTTTGGAAAATTCTTTGTTAATTTATAATATTGCTTATGTAATTTTCTCCTTTTGAAATTTATGACAGTTTATTTTATGCATTTTGAGTTCCATTTGGTGCTTATGTCTTTAAATTTAGGAATTATAATGGAAAGGCCATTTAATTTGCAGGTGGTTTTTAAATTGACAGTATCTGATGTAGATGGAATACATAATTTAAAAGTAGTAAATCTGTTCCATGTATACTGCCTTATTTCTAGATTTGTTAAAAATTGGAACAGAAACTAATGGATAAGGGTAGCATGAAAACTATATTTTAGTATGTATTATATACCAAGTGATATTATATATTAAACCATTCTTGATTGTTAGTTATTGTTAACAAAATTGTGTTGATAAAATTTTGTTAATTCTCCATGACCTTTCTGTAAATAAAATTCTCTTATCTAAAAATCTCTAGCTTTTTTGGTGATGTGGCATGATATTTTAATAAATTAATTAGATTTTTTTCATAGGTTGAAAAATGAGGATATTATAATACTCATTCAAGATTACAAACAAGCTAAACTAGAGAATTCCAAATCCTTTTAGTATCATCAGTTTTCTAAAAGGACTTAGTGTGTACTTTTTTATATTTGAAAAAGCTTTCTAATGTTTGTCATCCATATTTCTTTCTTACCTTAAATACTTCATTTTTTTTTAAAGTAAGCAAATACTATTCCAAGTATATCTTGTCCCTTTTAGAGAAAATACAAATACTGTTACATTTCAGAGAATATAAGTTCATTTATGGGAAGATGACATAAAGTACCTTGCTAGACTACTCCAGTTAAAGTCAAAGGAGTGACTATCTTTTAAGTTCTTGAAGTTACTGGAGAAGGGAGAAATTGATTCAGTCTGTATAACCCTGACAATAATTCTACAAAGTAGGTAGTACTGTTGTTCATGAACTTCTTTGTGTTGCAAATTACAGAAAGAAATAGATAAAGCAGTAAATACCTTGCTTTATTGGTCAAGTCTTCATTTCACATTTTACTCATAAAGATAATGGTTAGGATCTTTTGAGTGCAGTATCTTATATAAAGCATTAAAGAAAATATAATGATTACATCCTATTTCTTCTTATAGGCTTCTTACGTAGCAAGATTATTTGCCCAGTTTTGATCTCAATTATAAACAAAGTAAGTTATATAGTAGAATTAGTCTTGATTTGTACTCCATCTAAGCTTACAGCTCTTGTAATCTTTCTGTGGTTTTGAGAATGTTGGAGAAAATGTTTCAAGTTCTGAGGACTTTTATGTATTTTCAATTTCACTGCTTTAAGATAATTACTGAAATCTATTAAGACTTAGGATTGGTTTTTATTTTACTGACTCTTAAACATGATAATGCAAAATGTCAGAAAGTAATACCACATTCTAGCTTTCCCACATCAGATGGTGATGTTAGCCTAATTTAAAAACAAAAAATTGTTTTAGTCTACCAGAAAATTTATTTAACTTTGTTATTGGCTGATGTGTATGTATGGACTGATTTGGGAGAAATTATATCTATATTTGGTTGAAAATTCAACCCATATGATTATGACCCTTTGAGACTTATATGTGGTTATACACCTGTATTAACATTTCTGATACCCTATTTTCCTTAATTTAATTTTTTGTTTATTTAGCTAACTATTAGTTTACTTCTTTTTTTCCCCGTAACATATATTTGGATCAAATGTCTCCACATAACATTTTTGCACATCAACACTTTGAAATCAAGACACTTGATCTTATTAATGTATATATTACTATAACAAAAATTGTTTTTTAATATATTGACAACTATTTCACTATGATTTTTTAAATTGAGGTATAATCGACATACAATGTTTTATTAGTTTCAGGTGTACAACATAATGATTTGATGTTTGTATATATTGTAAAATGATCACCACAACATCTGTCATCATAGTTAACAAATTTTTTTTTACTTGTGATGAGAACTTTTAAGATCTATTCTCTTTGCAAGTTTCAAATATGCAATATAGTATTAACTACAGTCACCGTACTGTACATTATATACCCACTGACTTATTTTATAACTAAGTTTGTACCTTTTGACCCTCTTCACTCATTTTGCCAACTCTCCACCCCATCCCTGCCTCTGGCAACCACCAATCTGTTGCTTTGCATCTATGAGCTTGTTTTCTTGTTTTGTTGTTTTTAGGTTACACATATAGGTGAGATCATATGACCCATAGCTTTTTCTCTTTTTCACTTAACATAATGCTCTCAAGCATCCTTGTCACAAATGGCAAATTCCATTCATTTTTATAGATGAACAATATTCCATTGTATTTATATGCCACCTTTTCTTTATTTATTCATCTATTGATGGATCCTTAGGTTGCTTCCATATCTGGGCTATTGTCAATAATGCTGTAGTAAACATAGGGTTGCATATATCTTTTTGAGTTAGTGGTTTCATTAGTTTGCTTCTTTGTTGCTTTTACCAAGAATTATACTTTTCAATTCTGTAGAACATCCTTTATTTGAAAGTGAAGTTGGGTTAATGGTAAGTGTATATTGCAAACTCTAGGGCAGTCACTAAGAATATTTTCAGTATAATTGATGTGCTAAGACAGGAGAGAAAATAGAATCGTGTAAAATGCTCAATTAAAACTAGAGAAGACAGAAAAATGGAAGACAAAGAGAACAAAGACAATGAATAGAAAATGGTAACAAATATGGTAGATGTTACTCCAGATACTAATCATTTGATAATCATTTTAAATGTGATTGGACTAAATATACCAATTCAGGCAGGACTGTCAAAATGGTTAAAAAAAGAAGACTCAGACTATATGTTTTCTGCAAGAAAACATCATATTTCCACATCATATTTCAGATGAAATATAAAGACTCAGATCAAAAGTAAAGGGACGGAGAAAGATATACCATGCTAACATTAATCAAAAGAAACCTGGACTTATGTTAGACAAAGCAGACTTCAGAGCAAATGACCAGGGATTACAAGGAACATCACATATTGATGAAGCTGTCAATTCTCCAAAAAGACATAATAATCTTTAATGTGTATGCACCTAACTTTATCAGAGTATATAAGGCAAAAATTGATAGAACTGCAAGAAGAAACAGATGAATTCACAGTTATTGTTGGAGACTTAACATTCCTCTATCAATAATTGACGGATCTAACAGGCAGAAAACCAGTAAGGATATAGTTTAACTGAATAGCACCATCAATCAACTGAATCTAATTGACATTTATAGGATAGTAATCCAGCAATAGCAGAACACACATTCTTTTCATGTTCACATGGAACATTTACTAAGACCACATTCTGGGTTACCAATAAATTTTTAAAAGACTACAAATTATGCTTTGAGACTACAATGGAACTAAACTATAAATCAATAACAGAAAGATACCTGGAAAAATCCCAAAATACTTGGAGATTAAACAATATCTAAACACATACATTGAAGATATCTCAAGAGAAATGCTTAAATATTTTGTACTCCATGAAAATATAACTCCTCAAAATTTGTGAGATGCAACAAAAGTGAAGTTTAGAGAGAAATTTATAGCATTTAATATATTAGAAAAGATGAAAGATCTAAAATCAATAATCTTAAGATTTTACCTTAGGAAACTAGAAAAGGAAGAGCAAAGTAAATCCAAAGTAGCACCTGGCTGGCTGGCTCACCTGGGTGAAGCATGTGATTCTTGATTTCAGCATTATGAGTTCGAGCCCCATGTTGGGTGTACAGATAACTAACTAACTTAATTAATTAATTAAAAAATAAATCCAAAATAATAAGAAAAATGATAAAAGAGTAGAAATCAAGGAAAATGAAAATAGGAAATCAATACAGAAACTCAATGAAACCAAAAACTGGCTACTTGAAAATATCAATAAAACTGATAAATCTCTAGCCAGGCTAACCAAGAAAGAAAGGAGACAGATTAATATCAGAAATGAAAAGAGGGGCCATCAGTACTGAACCCAGGAATGTTAAAGGGATAAAGGTATATTATGAACAACTCTATACCCTCAAATTTTATAGCTTAGATGAAATGGACCAAACCTACGAAAGACATAATCTACCAAAACTCACAGAAGGAAAAATAGCTAGACTGCATAAGGCTATATCTGTTAAGGAAATGGAATCAATAATAAGCTTCCAGAACAGAAAGTATTAGACCTAGATGGTTTCAGCAGTGAATTCTACCAAACATACAAGAAGGAAATGATGTCAGTTCTGTACAATCCATCCCAGAAAATAGAAGCAGAAAGAATAGATCCTAACTCATTCTGTGAGGCCAGCATTACCAGAATACTAAAACCAGACAGAGACATTACAAGAAAGGAAAGCTACAGATATCTGTCATGAACATAGGTGCAAAAATCCCCAATAAAACAATCAAATTCAACAATGTAGAACAAAAGTTTATCCACCACTGCCAAGTAGCATTTGTTCCAGTTATACAAAACTGGTTCAACATTCAAAAATCAATTAATGTAATTCATGACATCATCAGACTAAAGCAGAAAAATCATCTGATCGTACCAATAATAGATTACAAAAAAGCCATTTTCCAGCTCCCATTCATGATAAAAACTCTCAGCAAGCTAGAAATAGAAATTGATTCTAAAGTTTATACAGAAAGGCAAATGATCCAGCATAACTACCAAAATATTGAAGAACAAAGTTAGATGACTGATACTAACTTTAAGATTTACTCTAAAGCTACAGTAACCAGGACACTATGATATTGGTGAAAGAAGAGACAAGTCAATGTAACAGAATAGAGAGCTCAGAAATAAGACCCATACAGATATAGTCAGCTCGTCTTTGACAAAGGAGTAAAGATAATCCAGTAAAGCTGAAGACTCAACAAATCATGCACATGCCAAAACATATAAAGAAAAAACATAGATACTGACATACCTTTAACAAAAATTAAATCGATCATAGAGCTAAATGTAAAATGCACAGCTATAAAAAAATACACAGCTATGTTATGTTCTATTCTAGAACAGAAGAGATAATCTAGTCTGACCTTGGGTTTTGTGATGCCCTTTTTTTAAAAGATTTATTTAGGGGCGCCTGGGTCGCTCAGATGGTTAAGCGTCTGCCTTCGGCTTGGGTCATGATCCCAGGGTCCTGGGATTGAGTCCCACATCGGGCTCCTGGCTCAGCGGGGAGCCTGCTTCTCCCTCTCCCTCTACTCCCCCTGCTTATGCTCTCTCTCTCTCTATCTCTGTGTCTCAAATGAATAAATAAAATCTTTAAAAAAGTGCTTTAAAAAAAGATTTATTTAGAGAGCATGCACATGGGTTGGGTGGAGGGGCAGAGGGAGGAGAGGGAAACATAAGTGACTCCGTGCTGAGTAC